CTACCGACTAGATCTGCTCGGTGCATTAGGGATTTAAGAGGAGCATGATCCGTTATAAGCGTTATCTTTGCATTAGCCACGTATGGGTAAAAATGTTTAAGAGCGAATACTATCGCTAAAGCTTCGAGTTCTATAACAGCATAGTTTTTCTCGTGCTTGTTCAGCGAGCGACTGCAGTACGCTATTGGGTGTTCACCTTGAGTTTTTGGGTTATACTGCAGTAGGCAAGCTCCTAATCCAATTGTGGATGCATCAGTATGTATTATGTATGGTTCTCCAAATATTGGCGATACCAATACTGGTGCTTGAATTAGAGCTTGCTTTGAGTGCAAGAAATGCATGCTCGTGGGCTTCTGTCCACACGAACGGTGTGTTTTTGACTAGTAAATTGTTAAGCGGCGTGGCTATGATCGAAAAACGCGGCAGGTAGCGTCGGAAGTATGACGCTGCTCCTAAAAATGATTTCACTGCCTTCACGTCTTTTGGACGTGGGATTTTGGCTATACTTGCTACTTTGTTTGGGTTGGGACGAGTACCATTTTTGCTTATGAGAACACCCAGATATTGTACTTCATTTTGAAAAAATGAGCATTTTTCTGGGGTAAGCTTCATGCCAAACTTTTGTATACGTTGAAAAACTTCTTCTAGATCTATGAAGATGTTGGTCCACTGATTGACTGGCTATGATTATATCGTCAATATATGCAAAACAGCATGATTTCAATTCACGTATAAGGCTGTTTGCCACCCTCTGAAATGTGGCTGGGGCGCCTTTTAGCCCTTGGGCCATGACTGTGAACTGGTATAATCCCAAAAAGGAAGAAAATGCAGTACGTTCCTTATGCTTTTCTTCCAGAGGTATTTGGAAAAAACCACTTTTGAAATCAAGTACCGAGTAAATTTCTTTTCCACTAACAAGATCTAAAATGTCTTGCATATGTGGAATGCAATATGTTTCGGTTTCTGTGATTGCATTGATTTGACGATAATCCACTGTGAATCTCCAGCACAGAATCCACCGTGAAATCTCCAGCACAGCGGGCTGTGCGTCTACTCGTGAGCCTTTTCCACGCGTGGGCGCCTTCCTGCGTAGAGCCCCAAGCAGACTCTGGAAAACTCCTCCAGGAGAGCTAGGTGCTCCTGGAAAAAAAAGAGAAATAGAATTTCGTTTCCTCTCTCCCCATCTCCTTCACAATAAAAAAAGGGGGAAAGCCAATAACTTACCCTCAAAGTGCGTTTATAACGTTCCTCCGCGTTCTTTACTTCTTCCTCTGCGCTCGCAAACTCCTCGGCCATCTTGTCCCGATGTTCCCGCTGCTCCCTCGCGAGCCGCAGACACTTTTCCTCTTCCTCCTTCGCCCTCATGTTCATATCTAGGCTCCACATGGCGTCTTCTCCGCACGAAGGGCAGAAATACTGAAAGATGTTAACTTTTTACC